TGGTAAGCTTGGGCAGGCTCCTCTCGTTGCTGTGTCCCTTCTTCCCCTTCTTTGTCAAGAATAATGAAAGCCCTCTCTGCCTTTTAAGACACATATTGCTAGACTGTTGAAGAGAAGACAGATTAAGGAGCAGACAGATTTGACACCATGTAGTAAGATTGTGATCTAATACAGTTTGTCTACTTTATGTCTGAAATTCAGCAGAATTGTCTGCCTTGTTTGTAGCTACCAACAAAGACTAATACATGGCATGGTATGAAATGTTTATCGTAACTGTAATAACTGTAAATAACAAATGCATCTGATGGTTTCCGTAGGCATCTGTGGAAATCAGGACTAGCCCCTTTGGGACTCAGAAAACAGCCCTCAGGGTTGAGTAGCTCACTTGACCTAATTTATTCTTTGTTAAAACAGATGGTATCTATCTGAGCAGGGCAAACTTATTTTTAAGAAAGAACTGGGGATTGAAAGAGTGGGAAGTTGGAACAGTTGGGCCTAATTAATGGGGGCAAACAAAGAGGCAAACTGAGCTTTAAATCAGTCATACACATCAATAACAAAATAGTCTGTGCATGATTAGTCACTCTGTTATATCAGTTGATCTAAAGTAGCAGGATTGGTTTTCCAATCATCAGAAGTACCTGAGATTGAATCAGAAAAATTCCCACCTTTGCTGTTGTTTTCTACCAGAGTTTAAAGAACAAAATCTTGGATTTTGCCGTGTTTGTTGTTGTGGGAAATGTTAGGGAGTCCAGCTTGTTTTATGTGACTGAGAACGCTCATTTTGTGTTTGATACCCAGGCCAAGCTGGTCTCTAGCTGTATTTGCCCTCCTCCCTTTTTGTGTGTTTAACAAGAGAAGGTTACTTACTTGTTTTGAAGATTGTTGACATTCCTTCAAGTTCTGCAATCACATTAAATTTGCAAAGAGGATCCAAAAAATTTATTATTTCTGTTGTAAACAGATTATACTGGATTAGTGGTTAGCATTTTGCATGGTTATTCTGTTTAGTCCTTTCAACCTGAAAATTTTGGAATTGTGTTGCATACTGCAGATAGCACAAGCATTCTACGCTGCTTTGGTTACTGGTGGACAGAAACCTGTTTGCTATATGCCTTCAAGGGGAGATGAGGTCTCATCTAGAATGGTGCAGTTTGTGAAATTCTCTTGTTTTGAACTGAACGCTAAGTAAAAGTTAGAATATTGTCCAAATATTTCCTTTCATAGCTATATGTAAGGTGTTCAATGTCTAAATATTAAAGTGTAGTTCTAAGGGGTGTTTTCTTATCTATCACAGAAGGTGAAATTTAGTCTGTTCAAATATCTGAGCTTTAAGGAAATCAGGACAAAAAAAATTGCACAAGCATTAATAGAAGTTGTTCCATGACCTTAGTGTCTCCTTCCTGGAGGGCCAGAGGCAGTGGTTCTTTGACAGAAGACAAGTAACCATGCCACTGAGCCTCCATTTTACCCACAGCCACTTCACTGCTTCAGTCTGTAAGGTTTTTTGCCATGAGTGTGCTTGTGGTAGTGTGTAAAAGCAGAAATGAAAGTACATTTCTGTACATTTATACTGCTCTTTTCTTTGAATTTCTGCAAATTCTTGTGTCCTTTGATTCTTATTAATTGCAGTTTTTTTGCTTGGAAAAAAAACAAAAAAACATAGTGTCATTTACCCTTTTATTCTCCAAGAAGAGTAATTTGAGTAAAGAACTTAGTGTGTAAGCAGTCCTCAGTTTAAATTGCAGGACATCACTATTGTTCTTCTTTTGGGTTTTAAGTGTGTATATTGTTGGTCAAAAGCGCTGGAAGAGTGCTGGTTGTGTCTGGATACTATCACTAACAACTGATGTAGGTGTAACACATCTTCTCAGAAGATCTGAATGGGAGAAAATTCATATCACAAGAAGAGATATATAAAAACAGATGTTGGTGGACTAATTGGTCTGTGAGTTAGAGGGGTTCTGGATTGCTGTCTTGATTTCCATAATGGCTTGGAGTCAGGCTAAAGATGCTGTGTGCAGCCAGTCTGAGTCTGATTTGGGAGGTTGTAGGCTCTTGCTCACCTGTGTGGCCTCCTGCTTTACCCCCAGGCTCTCTGGATGAGGTTTTGCCACTCATCTGTTATTGCGTGCCGGACTCTACAGCTCCTGGCAGGAGGGCTTTTAAAGAGACCGTATTTCCAAAGTTAAATAAGTCTCTTGCAGATCCTGCTGTAAAAATAGAGGAACGTAACGTTGATATCATTACTTGCAAGCACAATTGTTTTTAATGTTAGACCAATAGCAGAGTGAGAATAAAACATTCTAAAATAAAAGTTTCTTGGGCATACATGAAATCATGAAACAGGAGGGCATTGAAAACCTCTGGCTTTCCTCCTGAATATGTTTGTGCAAGATGTCTATTGAAACAGGTACCAAAACATATATGAAAACTGCATTTTCTCATGCAGTAGCTACTGTTACTTCCCCCAAGACAGCATTTGGAAGTCTTTAATTTTTAAGACGATTTTTAGTTTTGATGTGTAATATAACTGTAGTTATTCTTGACAGTCTTTTTCAAGATACTTCAACTTGCATTTCAGCTCCTAATTCTGAAATGAGCAAAGGTATTTATTTTCATGTATGTGTCCAATAAAGATGTAAATAATAAGTATTTAGGTCTGGACAGATGGCTGTGCTTGGATGTTCTGTTTGTTTTTTTTTTGTTACGGTGTTATTTTTTTGTTTAGTTTCCTGCATAGGCTCATCCACATGAAAATGAGATTGTTTACAGTTACAGTCATGCAATGTGACTGCATTGCTAAGGGATTTAATTGCATGATAAATTTTCCAGAGTAACCTGGTATCTTACTTTGATATAACAGCAAGCACTGTCTGAGACCTGTTTACAGTTTTTGTGGTTAAGGAGTTGTAATTGAGGACAGGTGGGAATATGTGTTTGTTAGTTCTTTCTGTTTTGGGTGTTTGTTTTCTGTTTTTGTTTTTTTAAAGGAGCTTTGATTATTATCTTTTGGATGACTGTAACCCTTGGTGAATTTGTGTAGTGAGAAATTTTATCTTGAAAGCTGGTTTTGAAAGCTATATTGGTAGTGGAATTGCGTGCTTTTGTAAAACTGAATTGCTGAAGTTGTTAGTTCCTCGTTTGTGTATTTTGTTCTGGTTTTAGTAAACGCTGTGCTCTTAAACAAAAATACAAGTGACCGAAAAGGAAAAAAAAGCGTTAAATAAAATGTAAATGTTTTAAGGAAGTACACATGATGAAAACAAACATTGGAGGGTGGGGAAGGGGACAACGAAACAAACAATAAGTTTCCTGAATTTGCTATGTGCAAAAGCTCTTTTTTTTTTTTTTTCTCTCCTTTTTTCATCTTTTTTTTCTTGTTTCTGTAATGCAGACTTTTTTTTTTTTTCTTCCATCCTTCCCCTTTCCACATACATATTCATCCTCTTAACCCCACTACATGTCATAAGGAGTTTTGTTGTAGGAGAGGGTGATCATCAACCCGCTCTGCAGTCAGCTGATGTACCAGCTCATAAATCTGCAACAGGTCACCGGGCTGCCTTCCTGCTGTGTGTGCGAGGCAGCAATTGTGAGCAGAAGTACAAAATTCGGACAACCTTGGAAGGGACTTCTGAAGAAAGGAGTGGCCCTTTATAAATGGGGACAGTTGACTTGAATGCCAAGTGTGTCTCATTTTGTGGGAAGTACTTCTGTCAGAGAAAAGGATTAAAAGTGTGCTGCACCATTCTAGAGGAACCTACATGACATTGTTTAATGAAAATAAAACAATGAACAACCAGCCACCCAGAGAGCTGAAATGGGAGTTCATCTTGAGATGTGTAACGCTGTACTGCTCACAAATAGGAGTGTGGCTAAACATAATACTTTTAACTCTGCTTTCTCTGAAATAATACTCAGTTCAGTTCTGTGTAATTAACTGGAGTGCAAAGCATTTGAAGGGAACTTTAATAATTGCTATTTTGCCTGATGGGAAAAACATAGTGCACTATTAAAAACATAGTATGTTTTTGACTGGATTTTATTTGCCTTTTATATTTTTAAGAAGGAATTGAGAAGGGAATACACAAAAAAAAAAAAAAAAAAAAAAAAGTGTGTGAAATCTTCTGCTACAAACAGTCAATACAGCAGTGTGGCACTGCAGGGAGATCTTAGTGGTATTTGTAAGTGAGCAACTTTTAAGCTTTTCTTCCCATCGTGTACTGAATCATTTCACTGCTCTGTAGATATATAAGGGAATAATCTTGCCTGAATATTTGCTGACAGCTGTTTTCTGTCACTGAAGCCTTGGTAGATTAATATTTTGTATGGTTTGTTTTGTTATCTATCTTGTATATTCTTCTGTGTTTTGAGTTCCTACATTTTAAGCACTAATTTAGCTATCTGGCTTTAATAAATAAGCTATGGAAGTTAAATTGTTATTTTTATTGAGTAAATGTTAAGCCTGTTACAGTTCTTCCTTAGTGGTGATTTTTTCCCTTTATGTAATACATCATGTATATATGTAATTGACATCACCTTCTGCTTCCAATCTGAATTAAAATTGATGTCTGAAATTTAAGAGAATGTTTTCCTGCCTTTCTTCTGTACTTGAGAACAGTTTTGCGTGTTTCATTTCTTTTGGTTACATTTGAATTTTCTGTATTACACATCAATTTTTTTTGTAGATCTTCTTTAGTCTTTCTCAGGACCAGTTCTCTTCTTGGCAAGGAATGCTTGTAGTATTTATCCAAAGAGTGACAATATCCTAATATTGTTATTTTCATTAAAACATTATCACTGAAATATGACAAATTTTTCCCTTACCCTCCCCCCAAAGATGATGTGCGGGAACACTTAATATAATGTAATATTGATGGGGAGGAAAAAATAAAAAAAAGAAATTGAGAGCCTATGTTTTTAAACCCAGCGAATTGTCTTGGCTTCTTTTTTCTTTTTCCCTTCATAAGTTTGATGGTTTTCTTTCTTCAATTTTTCAGGCACAGGTACATTTGGACGTGTTCACCTGGTGAAGGAAAAAATGGGAAAACATTACTTTGCACTGAAAGTAATGAGCATTCCAGATGTCATTCGACTGAAGCAAGAGCAGCACGTGCACAATGAAAAGTCAGTTTTGAAAGAGGTCAATCACCCATTTTTGATCAGATTGTAAGTTGTATTGATTTTCTCACTTTGCACTTAAACTAATGCATTTAAAGCTAAGTGTTCTAGTGTCTTATTGCAAGCTCTGCAACAAAAACAAAACACCAAATGTTTAATTTCTGTTCAGTAATCTAAAGTAGATTCAAACTAAAGTAGTATGGAAGAATCAAGAATATAAACGTAAGTATCACAATTTAAACATTTAAGCAATAATTTATTAGAAGTTTTATTTTTATGCTGTCTCTGTAGTAGTTTCTTTTTTTCAAATTACAGTAGAGATTTTCTTAAAGGAGGAAAAAATTATAATTGAAGAAAAGTTAACCTTAGCTTATCAAATTGAGAACTGTAATGTTAGAATGGTGAAAAAAAACAATTTCTATGTATATATTTACTGTCAGTATATTGATGAAAATACAGTTAGATTTCATTATATCTTTTGAAAACATTTCTGAACTTTTTTCATTGTTGAGGTCACAGCAGCACTTCATATGTTTTGTTATTCCCATATTTGAGGTGTAATTATAGTACTACTACAAATTAAGTAGTTAATAGAGAATATTTTTTTTTTTAGTTCAGGTCTAATAATTTTATTGATCTCTTTTATTAATGAGAGAAAGGAGCACGCTTTTCTATTCAGTCTTTTTTCATTGGATAACTAAACTTCTGGGTAATTGTACACTTAATTTACATTTACATTTTCTCAAAAATGGGTACAGGGCCATTGACCAAGATTTGTTTTGCATTGATCTGCCTTAACCTCTTCTACTAACGTGAGACAACATTAGGTTTAGTTATTCTCTAAGCAGAGGGAGTGCAGCTTCCTTCAAGGCTGAGAAGGCATCGAAGAGAGAAGGCACAAAAGCATGCTAATTACGCTCTTGTTGTGTGGAAAAAATCCCTGCAGGAGGAGTCTTTTTCCCTTGTGAACTATTGCTGTTTCCAGCACGGTGATGCTATTAGTTCTAGCCAGTGTTCACAAACGCTGCGTATGTGCTAATATCAGTGAAGTGAGTTCTTGGGTATGTAGCATTTGATATGCGTGTAGGAAAGCGAGTTGGAGAGGCTGACAATGCATCTGGTTAAACTGGTTAAAGTATGGGCAGAACAGGAGGAACGGGATTTTACATGTAGACTTATGTACATGTATAAATTCTGTTTAAGAAAGAGAAAGGGAAAAATGCTGCACAGGTCTAGAAGCACAGATTTACAAGTGTGGGAACAGGAAAACTTGACTGAAAAGTCAGACAGGATCATGAGGATTGATGTCCCCAGAGAAGCAGTGGTCAGAAATGCAAATGGACAAGTTTTCTTGGATTTCATTCCTGTCCTGTTTCCAAAATGTAAGGTTGTAAGCTTCAAGAAAGGAATGCAAGTCAAATAGAAGTTTCCTTGTGTGTAAGGCAACAGTTTGTCATGTCTTTCAGCTCTCTTCCTTTTTTTTTTTTTTCTCCTGTGGACGTGCTGTGTGTGATGCTGCATGAACTGTGCTGCCTTTTTTTTTTTTTTGTCTGTGTCCCTTGGCAAAAGAGATTTAAAGCAACCCATCTGAAATGAATTAGTTAAATTTTAAGTTGTGTTTAAATATTATATTTGTGTGCTTTAGGTTAAACAAGCATTTATGGACAACGAACACTAACTTTTTGACAAAGGGCTGTTCCAAGCCTCCTACTTTCTTTCTTGATACATGTTTCTTCCATTATTATTATTTTTTTTAGTAGCACTGATCAGAAAAAAGAATAATATTTTGTATAGTTCTGTTTCAGATCCTTTCAACCGTATTATTTTCATCTATTTATTGTGTTCCCATTTAGTGTCACTAACTTAAGCACAGGTAGTATTACCCTCTGGCTACAAATCAAGGATTATGTGCCAGTGCAGCTTAATTCTATTTTTTGTAGTACTTTCTGATGAAGACTTTTAAAGGTATTGCTGCACATCATCTATTTCTGGCAATCATCCTTCCTGTATCTTCTCATATATAAAACCTTCAAGATTTTTTTTTTTTTTTTTTTTCCTTTTCCTGTTGCATTTAAGAAAGAACATAGAGGATCTTTATCAGTTTGCAAACAGAGAAGTTAGTTATCTACTATACTCTTAAGCATTTTTTGGGGGGGGAAATGCTTATGTTCTTGGAGAGCTGTTCGTTGGAGACTCATAGTCAATCTTTATTGATACATGTGAGTGAATTATCATAATTCAGTGGGTTCAGCAGTTCATATGGTACTGTGATTTTAACATGAATCTTGACATTTCAAGAAAACTAGAATTAATAAATCTGATCTCTCAGCAGTCTTATTTTCTTGGTTGTCCTGTCAGTATCAAGAAAGAATATCTTATTGAGGAAAAGTCACTCTTTGGTTTGGAAGCTTGGTTTGCTGTTTATCTTTCTTATCTTTCTTGCTTATCTATCTTTCTAGACTTACTAGCTTGATTAGGAACCAACAAATAAAACAAAAAGTACTTGATCTTTTGGATTTTTTGATACTGTAGGAGAGTTAATAGAAGCTGAAATAACTTTCATTCTTCTGCCAACAGAGTGCATGGAGATACAGTGTTCTTTTTTTACTGTTACTGTAATAGAGATATTTGTTTGTTTAAAAATAGTAAAATATTCTTCTAGGCATTATCAAATACTGTTTTTTTTTTTTTTTTTAATTATTATGTTGCATTTAGATATGTGGTGTATGACTTCATTAATGTGGGTAGAAGAAAAACAGCTTAGCTCAGGGGAATGTGAGACAGAAGATTCTGTATTCTATGTAAAAGTATTTGCAAACCATGTGGAGTTATTTTCTTCATCCTTGACTGTTCTTTATTGCACTTAATGAGAGAATGTATCACAGTATTTCTTAAAGAATTCATAAAATTTCTTAAAAGACAACAATCTGAACAAAAGAAGGTTCTCAGTAGGTTAATACTGAGACACAGAAATGAAAGAATGCTGTTATTTTTTACTTTTCTATTGTTTTTGTTAGAGATAGAAGAGAAAGCATTGTGATCTTATGCTTATTTACTAACTTCGTTTCTGTTGAGGTTCTGTGTTTTTATATAGGAAGGAATAAGCAAAGGGAAGGAGAGCACTCTCGTGTCCTCTGTGTGAATATATTGACAAAAATATATTTATGAAAGCAGCTTATGCTCTTCCCCCCACATTACTTCAGCAGTATTCAATTAAATAAAATACAGCTGTGAGAATTGTTGGGTCTTAGCAGACTAGCAGTATGTGAAATCAGTTATTAGGTGCTTAGCAGATACTTGTTTTGTAAAAGGCAAAGGAATCTATCAGTTTCCTGTTTAAAGTGTTTGCTGTGCACATTCTGAACTATCTGTTATTACTTTGCATGCTAAGTCTACTACTTAAACAGCTGTTAGATAGTCCTAGATTCTTTGGGTTTTACTGGTTGCCCAGTAGTAACCATAAATAGGTATGTTGATCTACAAGTAATGCCTCCTGTATATTTCCATGGAAACTACAGCAGATACAAAGAGCACAGTAACACTACTTAATAGAGCAAATTCTCGGCTACAGAACAGTACTTTTCAACATTGTCGCTACCATTAGCTGTGCATTTTTACCAGTGGTGAGCAAAAGCCTGCGTGCCATGCTCATGAAAGTCTGTACAAGCAGAAGTGACCCACTGTTGCTACTGCTAGAATGCACCACCTCACTGTACTCACATCCACTGTTTGGTCTTCGTAAGCATTCGTAAAGAGTATCAATGGGTGCCATTTTTTCCACATAGAGGAATTCAGTTCCACACCTTTGCTCATCTACACTTGCATGTGAGACACCGTTTTGTCAGACTGCCTCCCTGCTGCCGTTGTTCACACAACAACAAATTCTAATGGGATACTGGTGGGAAGGTTCAGCCTCTACTGCCATACTGCCAACAGCCGCTTCTGATGTCATGGGCCAACATGTTAAAACAGAAGGCATTACTTTCAGAGCAACCCTTGTATATTATCTGCATACTTGGGGCAAAAGAATTCAGTTTACAGAATCTTAATTCTGAAGCAAATTACTGAGATAATTTGTTTATTCAGTAAAATAATATTTTTATTACAGATTCTGGACCTACCACGATGAACGTTTTTTATACATGTTAATGGAATATGTACCAGGAGGAGAACTTTTTAGTTACTTGCGCAACATGGGGCGTTTCAACAACAGCACAGGACTGTTTTATTCAACAGAAATTATTTGTGCAATAGAATACCTGCACTCCAAAGAAATAGTTTACAGAGACTTAAAGCCTGAAAATATATTACTAGACAAAGAAGGACATATCAAGCTTACTGATTTTGGATTTGCTAAAAAATTGGTGGATAGGTAAGTACACTTTTACTGTTTAACATACAAAAATTAGAGTTGGAAAAGTTTGATTTCAGAGCTAAGCATTTCACAAATGTCAAGTCACATAATAAAAAGAAAGTGGGCTTTCTTGAAATCACTGCAACATCTTAGGCTTAATTAGGAACAGTATCACAGGTGAGCAACTGTAGGAAAATATTTTTATATGCTTACATTTGTGTATTTGGGTTTTCGTTAGTCCTTTTGTAAAAAGAAACTTCAGTAATGTAAAATGATGAGCAGACTCTCATTTTAGAGTCTGCTATGATCTCTGTGTTAATACGTTGAATAGAACACAATCTTCTAGACAAGTTAAATTACTAAATGCTTTGTAACTGCTGTTTCCTTCGGATTTCTTTTTAAAGACAGTTTTGGAGATGTAGTAATATTTTTAAGCTGGACACTGTTTTCATAACCTTGTTGTTAAAATGAAACTAATATGTAGGGGCCAGGTTCAGCAAAAATAATTTATTTAACTGATTTCTACAGTACTGTAATCCCTTTTACTAGCATTATGTAAACATTTTGGCAATGCATAGTTTTCTCTATTATTTCTCTGTTCTCTCTGTTCAAGCTACTCTTCCAGAATTACGCGTGTTTTTTAAAAAAAAAAGTGAAAAGTGTTATTAGATTGAACATAAGGGAAAAATAAATAGCTGTCAAGTTAGAAAATTTGCCTTTGTAAGGTTTGATGTCATACCTAGTGCTGTCTCTTTAGAGACCCTATTCAGTTGTTCTAGATGAGATAAATGGATGATTCTAGTTGAGTTAAATAGTTAATCATCTTCTCACTCACCTATTAGCTGCTACTTTGCCTACAGTTCGTGTGGGGGAGCTTTTCCACAGCGTGTGGGGGAAGTCTAAAGGAATGTTTTGAAATAAAGGAACTGTGAGAGCTACTTTTAACTTATCTCTTAGGGCATAAAAATCAGATGGGACAGATTAAATCATGTTACAGTGGTCATAAAGGTTGCTTCCTGTGTGCTACAGGCTTCCGGTGCTGTGTTTTCTCAGCACAGTAGAATGCTAGGCAGAAATAAATACACCTGTTCACCCTTGGAATTAAAAGTTCTTTTTTAAATCCATAATATTTTAATACCTGCACATTTGCTTGAATTCAGTTCCTAGTGAGCTAACAGATTTATACAGATTGACATTAAAGAAAACAAATTCTGATGTAAGTTGGAGCCTCTCTTAGTAAGACATCTTTGTACTAATTTTTATTCCCTCCTTTTTAGATGTAGATGCTGCCACTTAGTGGTTATTCCTAATTTGGATTTCTGTGGATTGAAGATAGGTCAGGAGTAACCGGTCGTATCACATGATAGTTCAAATGAAAGTTTATCTTTCAAATTGAAAGATGAATCTATGAGTCAGTTTGTTCCAATACATTTTAAGAAGTATTACTGTGCATGTAAATGTATGACAGCTACTAGAAAATACAGAGCACAGTTGGATGGAGTGAGGACTTTTTCATGCAGTCTTTTTTTTTTTTTTTTTTTGTAACTACATGCTATTCCTCCCACAAAATCATTTGCACAGTCTTGGATTTGTCACTGTAAAAATACATATTGAATACATATTGTTAAAAACAAAAGAAAGAACAACAAAAAACACACCCCAGCTATCCACTTACACACTCCAGTTGATTATGGTTATTTTGTTTTATAGACTATTTTTGTTTTATAGACTATTGTGTATAGTAAATGTCTAGATCAATACAACATCTCTGCATGTGAACCTTGTGAGTCTATATATGTGTATATTATCATGAAAATGAAGAGAATTTTTGTTTTTTTTTTAACAAGTGAAGATGTTCCTAAAGGATGGAAGACATGATTTGTGAAATAAATTATAACATAAATTGTTGTCTGCACGAAGCCTGAATAGTGTTACATGTTCTTGATGTACATTACTTCACATAAATGATTCTATAGTACTCAATTTGAGGTTTTCTAGACACACACTTCTCTCTTCCCATTATGGTGCACAAAGAAATAAAGTTTTCTATCTACAGTTTAAAAAAAGAAAAACAACTGTAGGGCAGAATAAATCACTGTTATTGTTAGGGTATAGGAAAGATTTGCTTTGAGCTTTATAGTTGTTGTAATTATAGACATTTCTTTTTATGGAAAGGGCATACCACTACTCAGGAATAAATACATCAAGTAATCATATTTCTGATTGTTCTCACAATTTTTTATGTGCTATTTTAGAGGAATATACAAAAGTAAAGTTCACGGGTTTGCATTTTTATGCACGTTTCACTTAGTTTTCTGAAATTTTCAAGAAAAAAATAATGATTTCTAGGCTTGTTTTTAGTGGAATGTTGTTTACTGTTAATTTTATATTCCTCAGCGTAAATCCCATTAAAAAAAAAAAAAGAAAGAAAAAAAAAGTAATAACGTAAGTGGTTAAGTTTAAAGCATTTTGCTACACTTCTTCACTCTTCCTTAAAGTGGTTCTGCCTCACAGCAGTTCTTCATAGTGGACTTGAACAGAGAAAACAAAGGCAAGATGCAGCAAGTCTTGTTCTTACGTAATTGTCTTGTGGTCACTGTAGAAGCAAGAATATCCTGCAAAACAAACGTTTGAGGGCTGGAAACAAAGCCATCTCCATTGAATTTAATTATGGAGAAACTTCCAGAAGGCAACACGAAAAAGGATGTTACTTATCTCTGGATCCTATGTGAGAAGATTTGCAGGGACAACAGAGATGGAGGCTAAATAATGTAGAATAATACAATATAGTAACCAGCTTCTTCAAATGAGACTGTTAACAAGTCTCACAGATGCTATTTGATAGCTTATCTTTGTTATGAGAGTATATTTAGTTTGATTTCCTGATTTTAAAATTACATGTTCAGTATTATCAATTATTGATTACCTGCTTATTAGCTCTTACCCTGAAAACCCTTAGCAGTGAAAATTTTGAAGCTATTGGAAGGATCTGGACCATTCTTTTTTTATACTCTATAATTTTTGTCCAAGAAAATGGCATCTAGAGGCTCAGATGAAATACAAGTGCTGCTCCGAAAGTAATGCCTCCTGTTTTATTATGTTGACCCACAACGTCAGAAGTGGATGTTGGTATGGTACCAGAAGTTGATCTTTCCCACCAACATTGTGTTACATTTCATTGCCACGTGACAGATGGCAGTAGAGGATAGTCTGTCGAAATGGCAGCTGACATGGAGGTGTAGATGAAGTAAAGATGTGGAACAGAATTCTTCCATGCAGAATAAAAAATAGCACCCATTCCTGTTCTTCAGCTTTTGCTGAATGTCAATGGGGACCAAACAGTGAATGAAAAGACAGAGAGACAGCGGGTGGTGCATTCCAACAGTGGCACCATCTGTAGTGGGTCACCTCCACTGGTGCAGACTTATATGAGCACAACATGCAAGCTCTTGTTCATCACTGGCAAAAATGCAGAGAAAATGGTTGTGACTTTGTTGAAAAGTAGTGTTCTGTAGCTGATAATTTGCTCTGTCAAATAGTGTTATTGTACTTTTTGTTTTGGTTGTAGTTCTCATAAAAGTAAATAGGAGGCTTTACTTTCAAAGCAGCCTGCATAATAATCAAAATAATACTTTATACATTTTCCAAAATACAAAGTGGTTTGTTACTTGACCAATGAGAGTATGTAAGTCATGATCATGTGGTACAAATACACAACTTGTGAAAACACCAATTACTGGTAGCTGTTTACTTGCAGGATGGGCTAAATAAACATAAATAAAAGTTTATATACTGGATTGTATTACAATGTCTTAAATTTTAGGAGGAGAGTGGGTCATAATCTTTTCTTTTAATGATAGATAGGCATTATCTTGGCAACGGCTAGGTGGCAGCAGTGCGTAAATAGTGCTGTATGCAGGAATTTTCTTGAATGCTGTTGATTTAGAAAGTCAGTTTATATTTTCCATCAATTTAAATTATGCCATCCATTTGTCGTTAAAAATTGAAGATTTATTCTTACACCAATGACCGTGGCTTCAATAGTATGTACAGTATACCAGTAACAAGCTCAGCTTAGCTGTGGAGTTATTTGCATTTGCTGTTTTAAAATTAGGCCTTAAGAAATTCAACTCCTTGCATCTTGGATTTTCGAAAATTATGACTGGTTACACAGCTTGTCTAATCCTAATTCCTAATATTTTAGGAATAACAATATTTTTTTAAAGCTCCGATTAAAGTAGTTCTGCAATCTTAGAAAAGCATTTTATTTAACTTTCTAAACAAAAGATAAACCTAAAATGCTGATAGATTGAGATGCCGTAATAAAAATTTTGAACATTTCCTTCTGATTGTGAAGAAGGTAGTTTAAATTAAGTAGAAAAATGGAAGGAAAAGAAAATAGGGAAGTTGAAAGATGTATATATGGCTTTTTAAAGGTGATTGCTATTCATATTAATGTGTTCATTACCACTTTTCCTTGGAGAAAAATCATATTGCATTATCAGAGCTTCTTTCTATAGACTGTGTTTAAAAATAAGTTGTTATGTGAAGCCAGGCAAATTCTGCACAAATATTTGTACAAATAAAAGTTCCTGCATAGCTTGCTCTGAAAGTAGTGCTTCCTATTTATTTTCATGGAAATTACAATAACTGCAAAGAGCACAGTAGCACTATTTGATAGAACAAGTTCTCAGCTACAAAACAATAGATTTCACCATAGTCACCACCATTAGCTATGCATTTTTGCCAGCGATGAACAACAGTCTGTGTGCCACGCTCGTTAAAATCTGCATGGCCATCTGGAATATGAGTTATCTTTCACATTGCTGTTGCCGCTGCTGGGCCTGTCAAATGTCTGCAGCTTACAGGGTGAAAACTGCTGTTAATGATCTCAAAACAACATGTAGCCTAATGGGTATTGTACCATGCTAGCAGCCAGAAGGCTGAGTTTACTGGTGTCTCTTGCAGCCAAGCAGTTTCTTAATTTCCATATTTTTATTTATATGCCAGGTGAACGGGATCATGATACAGCAGTCTTCTGAGATCTGTAGAGGTCTTCCTTTTCTTTTATTCTTATATGTAATAAGTAATGCAGACACATCTTGAATGTTTTCTATTTGTTTGGTTGGTTTTTTTTAATTGTAATTTTAGTTCCAATTCAGCCTAATTTTATTATTGTATTTTATGTTTTCTGTTTTCCTCCCAGAACATGGACGCTTTGTGGCACTCCTGAATACCTTGCACCAGAAGTCATACAAAGCAAAGGTCATGGGAGAGCTGTGGATTGGTGGGCCTTGGGAATTCTTATATTTGAGATGTTGTCAGGGTAAGTGATAGTGATTAATATATCACAGTAATACTGTGTCAAAGATAAGGTTATGATTCTTTACTAGTTCTGTTTGTGATACTCTGAAGATCAGATTTGGGTTGTTTGTTATTAATATACCAATTTTCAATTTTTTGTCTTTGAAGACAAAAATTATGGTGCTGTATTAAAAACAAACAAACAGAAAACTACCATTACTGGCAGGGTATTTGTGGGAGAGGAAATTACCCTTTTTAGGTAATTCCTTTTAGTATCTTAAGTACTTTTGTTTAGTAGCTGCTTTTTTCCTAATCTCTTCTGGACAAGAGTTCTGTTAAAGTTGGCATTTTTATATGCAAAACCATAAAAAGATGGAGACAGTGAATACTGTTTTTCTCTGAAACTTCTGTAACCAGTTTCTAGCATAGCAAAATAACAGTTGCAGTGAGAACTTAAGTATGTTAATAGATAGGTGGAAAACAGGAAGACATATGTCAGTGCAGTTTGGTTTTCTTTAAACCAAAGCAAATAGGGAAAAGGTTGAACAGTCTATTTGATAATCCATTTTCTCAAATGTTATTTCTGGTGTCTTGAAATTTCTTGAAATTTCTTTTTTCACAGAAGATAAAAATTGAAATGAGATTTTTCTCAGCATTAATATAAATAACTGCTTCTCACTCTAAGCATTAGGCGGATAAAAGTAATTGTCTGACTTTGCTCTGATTTAAAAAACAGATATTTGTGTTTTCAGTAAAATAAATAACAGAGCTAGAGAGAAAGTGAATTTGTGCATGTGTACAAACAAGGCATCCATTTGCTTCTCCTCGCTTTTAAAAAATGTTAAAAATCAGGTTTGTCATTGTTGCTGCCATAGAGTAAGTACAGATAAAAGCTATGTTTTCGTAGCTTACAAAGAAACTGTGTATTTCAATAAGTGTTTGTTAGAACAACTTCTTAGAATATCCGTCCCAGTGCGCTCAATGCCTTCTCACAGGCTGAGCATGCATCAGGTTGTCATTATGGCCTTTCATTCTGAATCTTCAGCCCCATAGAGAAAAGTGAAAACAAACACTTCCTTCCCTGGATTTGATCTTCCTTTTCTGTGACGTGCTATTAGCTCAGGGCTGTGGTGCTTGAACAAAAAAATTGATTGCATGAGCAGACTGTCAGTGGCTCGTTGCTTCAGAGCTTCAGTATACAGTGAATGTTTGATGTGAATGAGCCCACCCAGTGCTATCCGCATTGTGTCTGAGGACAATGCTGCAGCCCACTGCTTGGTTTCTTAAAGTCCTGAAGATCTGAATATGCATTTGCTGTGGAGCTCAAGGCAGAAAAAGCATAGAAATGTACTAGGAGTTTCCTACTGACACAGGCAAGGTTGGCTGACTCATCTAACAAAAAGTATTTGATATAGGCTAATCTGTATCAGGCTTCACCTTCCTTCCATAGCTACCTGTATGGGTGGGATTCTCTTCTTACTTCTCAGAGGGATGAATGAAAGGAACAAGACAGTCCTTTCCCAACAGTCCTTTTGCTGTTATTCTGTCTTAGCATGAGGATAAAAGTGTCTGGGGCAATAACATTAGCTCAGATGTTACCATCTCCCGGTGGTCATCTGAATGATTTAACTTCCTTCCACAGGATTTGGTGGGGGACCCCTGAAGTGCAAATCTGGCAGATATCCCTTTTTTTCAAAACTCAGGTAGCATAGTAGCGGAAATGGTTTCCTAAGTTAATGTAGTGAATGCAGGTGATATTCAAGCACGATCTCTTCTGTGGAGTCAGTGAGATCTCAAGACTCGAGAACATTGAACTATGACTGTTGCATGTTCTGCTGAAATATAATGGGTATATATTTAACATAATGGGTGCAGCTGCAGTCATTTCTAGCTGCAGGATTTTCTGTGACCTGACATTGTGTGATGAGGTTTCGGTTCCCTCAAGCTTAATAGGAATATTTCAGCTATTGAGACTCTTAACTAATAGAGATAAATGATGTGTTTCCTAAAAAGACAACTGAGATCTTGCATTGGCTGATTGACAAAGCAGCTGCTGTCGGCAAGTGGTTTTGTAACAGTCTGTCTTTTACTACAGTATTTCTGATTTAGTAAAAATATTTGTGTTTAAATGCTCTCCATAACAATGTACACATGCTTCATTTCTTTAGTGTTTGTTTGGGGTCTCAATCCACGTCTGGTTGTTCTGAAATTCTGAGGTTTGTGGTCAGGGGGTTCAGGGGAGCAGAGACTGTGTTGTCCGTCTTTTACTTAAAACAAAATGTTACCACACAGAGTAAATGCTTTTAGCATTTTATCAGCTTTTCACTATTGTTGGCAGTAGCAGTATTTTAAAGCACTTTCCCTCATCAGCTCAAGATATGGCTTGATACTTACTATCAAGGATTTTAATGCAAAAAATAGTCATAAGAGGTTTTGTTTTGTCTTTTAACCCCTTAAAATTCAACAAAGAGTTAAGAAGCAGGACAGTTATTTGAAAGTGAACAAAAATTGACTTCAAGGCTAAGTTACTATGTGCAAGTAAATGACTTGTGACATTTGGTAGTTATTTCCTGAAGTTACTCTCTGGACCCCAAAAGCAATTGAAAAGAATAGGGAGATGTGTGTGTTAGGAAATGATCTCTCTAAAAACAAACAAAATAAACCACACTTTCCTGTTCTTCAGTGTCTTATTTCACTAACTCAGTCCCTGGTGGCCCATGGAATTCAGGTTCTGCACATTCTAGGTTTAAGGCGAAGTCCTGTTTAGGTTTGAGGTAATAAAATATGGGAAGGAAAAAGAACACAGAAAACCAAGATTATTGATGTCAGTTTTTTTTAAGTTAATCTGAGCAATCTAAATAAAGTGGCAATAGAAGAAAATAGAAGTTAAAAGATTTATGTATGTTGAGTAATTGTGTTCTGTTACAGTCTACCACAGAGGAAAACTTACTTGTTATTTAACATATTACTCGTGTTAGATGATCGTCATCAGAAATATAATTAACTGAATTTTCTCATTTAATGAGAACTATGAGGTTTTTTTCTGTTGTTTTGGCTTTTCTGTTGTTTTTCTGTTGTTTTGTGACTACATGACAGAATCATACAATCATTTGAGTTGGAACTGATCTTTAAAAATCACCTATTCCAACTCTCCTGCAATGAACAGGGACACCACAGCTAGATGAGGCTGCTCACAGCCTAGTCCAGCCTGACCTTGAATGTCATGGTGTCTGCCACTTTTCTGGGCAACCTGTTCCACTGCTTCACTATCCTTATCATAAAAAGACCTATTCCTTATATCCAGTCTATATCTCCCCTCTTTTAGTTTGAAGCCATTTTCTTTTGTCCTATCACAAAAGACCTTTCATACTTGGTCTATCATTTATAGGTAGATAGTGATTTCTGCCTACAATTTCTTATGTCAGACTTGCTTTTCCTTTGACATTTCACAACACCTCTTCTTCAGTGTTAAAATGATCTGTTATTTTTGAGACCATTGTCAATGCCATTGTTACGCATCAGTTAGCAAAAGGAATGGTTTGCAGCTGTTGTCCTATATACAGAGAATTTTTAGCTTTTTTTCAGTTGTTGGAAAAAAGGCAGCTGTTTATATTTGCTTTGTGGTGTGAAGACGGTTTGAAGCTCAAGGGGTTTTTTGTTGATTTAGAGCTTCCAGCACAGTATTTGTGCTGTTGTGTTAAAATTCCATGCTATGTGTTGCAGATTGACCATTTGCGTGTAGTATCAAGTCATTTGTTTTTTGATCAAGAAAAGCTTTCACCTCAAATCTCATATTGCATACAGTTCACATACACTTTAAGCAATGCTGCCATTAAATTTTTATATAGCTAAACATAATTTAAAAGAATAATTGAAAGATAACATAGTAATGTAGAATTTTCAAATTAGGAAAGCACAAAGCAAACTTAACATGCACAGATACATAGAAACACATACAAGTTCCTGATTCTTCTTAACACCTCAGCAGTGTATAAAACATTTGGAGATGGAGGAGAAAAATATCCTGTATTACATACCAATCTGCTTACTGTAGTTTAAGTCTTTTAGAAAGTAATTACAAAGTGTTAAGAAAATGTGAAAACATTTTAAGTGTTAAGACTGTTGTAGCAGTATTTGAGATTTTGAATAGCATCTGTATTAATTATATCCAGTTTCTATTTTGTAAATGATTTGAGGTAGAAGCATAAGAGCAGTGTTGTGTTACAGAAGTCAAGGTGGGACAGATTAGTGAATGAATAGTTATTCCATTCCCCTAAAATATTTCCTGTCGTAATTTTTAAAATGATGACTATGAAAACCTCTTGGCACTTGGTCAAAGCTGAATTTGCCTGTTGTATGGAAGTACCTACACTCTGAGCCTCTTGCAGTAATTTGAGTCTGTCATATACTGGTAAGGGAAGCACATCAGAAAATTTTCTCAAATCTTACCATGGATATCAGACTGGAAGCAGTCTGTCTGATAGCTCACAACTTTATGGAGAATTCTATAGAAAATAAGTGTAGAATTTTAATTGTATCTTGATTTCCTCATCATCCTGGAGAGATTAAATCAATGCTTTATCTGTCCTAATGCAGAAAAGAGAGCTACTCTTTAAGAGACTTGGGTTCTGAACAGTCTGAACAATTTTTCCCCTTCAGACCTTGTCTCACAAAGCCTGTACTTAAACTAAAGAAGTACAGTAATAACTGAACTGGACTATCTTGTTTGTATGTAGGGCCTTTGACAGTTTGGATAGAAACTAGTCAGTAGTTACAGGACAAATTTTTTTGCAATGGCAGCCTCAATATGACTTGATAATTTATTTACCAAGTTAGTAGTTGATTGATGATGTCCTACCAAAAAGAACCATCTAATCACTTTGGGGAGATTACTATAACATCATAATATTTGCAAGATTCTTCTTTTCTTTCTTTTTTTTTTTTTTTTTTTTCCCCTAACCTCTATAAATTTGTTGTGTTAAAATAGGTTTCCTCCATTTTTTGATGACAATCCATTTGGCATATATCAGAAGATTCTTGCTGGCAAAATAGATTTCCCACGGCATTTGGATTTATATGTAAAGTAAGTCTGTGACTCCCAACCTTGTCTTTTATATTCTAATTTCCTTCTGAGCATTCTTTCTGAAAGTATCTTCATAGATTATTGTAATTTTCTAAAACACTAAGTTGGAAAATATTTTAGATTGCCTTTACATTTGCACTCAAAGGAAAATTGTATGTGTGATAGACTTCAGGTAGGTGATACAGTTGTTATATACTATCTGCCTCTCATACTTTTCTGCATATATTGGAATATTAAATGCCTTCCTGCATTGTGCAAAGCTTATTGGTGCTAGCATGGTGTGGGAGAAGAAGAAAAGAAAACTATGAGGAGATACTTTAGCATGCATAAAAGTTAGGAGAACACTGTACTGTTTTTTTGTGTAAGTACCGCTTATTCTAAACTTCCAGTGTGAAATGGCTCTTCAAACAGGGGAGTCCCAGTTCAATGTGCAATCTTAAATATGCATGTCTGTTTTCCATTCATAATATTTTTCAATCATTACAGGTGGGTAGCAGATAAATGCTTCTTTCTCCTATTCCAAAATTCCTTCTTTGAAAGTTCTGTCACTGAAATAATTGCTAGTAACTTTTAGAATCTCTAAAGTGCAGTTGTAAACATAGGTTTACAGAGATGTAGAGATGATTGCATGAGTGAGGGCAGGAAGTTATTCTTACATACCCAGGTTAATCTTTCGAGATATTTTGAAGTCACCTATAGAAATGGCATTTGCTTAATGTCGACACTAGTTTGATAGATAAAACGCTGTATGACATATATAACAAAATCTGTCCAACTTTATCTGAACATTCATGAATTATCCTGCAAAGCTACTAGTCTGGGGAGAAATTTTTAAGCCTTCTCTGAATCATCAGGTTCACTGAATCAAATCTGTCTATGTCCGGTTATGCTCATTAGTGTCTCTCATTCATGTCTATTCTTAAGAGTGTTTCCTCACTATCTTGAAGTGGTTTCTAACTAGGTAGTCTCCTCCAGTCTTCCTAATCCAGTCTATTTTAGGAAAGAGAGTGTACGTTTCCAGTGTGCGTACTATGTGTATTAAAGTATTAAAGCATGACCAGAGCTGAATAGCTCAAATTTAGGGTATTTGGGTAGGCTGAGTTAGCACAGAGTATCTAGCAGCTCTTGAAAGCATTTGAAAGTAGAGGTGTTGTTAGTTTGTGCTTGTATTTAATGGTCACTGGTAAGCACTTACCTCTACTATCCAGAAGACACCTGATGCTGTAAGTTTCCTAGTTATGTTATTAAGCATGTATATGCAGGTTTTGCTCTTCAGTCTAGACATGAATTGCAGGATACATTAATCAGCATACTTGCTGATACACCTCTTTGCCAGTTTTTGTTATCCAGATGTTCTTTCAGCTTGTGCTTGGCAGTTCATTCCCATTACATTCCTGCCGTTAAGGGGCCTTGTGGGATTCTGGTTTGGACTTTCTTCCTTTCACACTTTAGTTTTGAGTGATCTCACCCATTGATTTCACCTGCTTTCCTGCACCAAGTTGTTAGCGTAATTTATGTCTTGTTGCAGCAACTTCCCTTATTTTAAATCATAATATGAAGAATAGGTAGTCTCACATCCTTGCACCATTTTCTTAAAGCACTTGCTAAGATTGTTTTGTTCTAGTAAGACAGTCTGCTTTCTTACTTATATCCCTTTTGCTTTCATTATCTTCTTCCTAGCAGTTGGTATCTCAGAAAGAAAGAGGAGTATCATGTCCTATCTGACACGTCCATCAAAGTATTGGTGTTATAGTGTGTTTGTAACAATTGAATTATAAGTCTTTGTTCTTAGGCAGCAAAACTGTTCTTCTGTTTTTGTAAACTTTTCTTGCAAAGACATCCTTATAACAAAGCTGAGGAAGTGTGGGATAGACGAGTGGACAGTGAGGTAGGTTAAGAACTGGCTGACTGGCAGAGCACAGAGGGTTGTTGTTGGTGGTGCAGAGTCCGGTTGGAGGCCTGTAAGCAGCGGTGTTCCTCAGGGGTCTGTGCTGGGTCCAGTCTTGTTCAACATCTTCATCAATGACCTTGATGAGGGGATAATGGCCACCCTCAGCAAGTTTGCTGATGATACGAAGTTGGGAGGATTGGCTGACACGCTTGAAGGCTGTGCTGCCATTCAGCGAGACCTGGACAGGCTGGAGAGCTGAGCAGAAAAAAACCAGATGAGGTTTAACAAAAGCAAGTGTAGAGTCTTGCATCTGGGGAGGAATAATTCCATGCACCAGTACAGATTGGGGGATGACCTGCTGGAGGGGAGCCCTGCGGAAAGGGACCTGGGTGTCCTGGTGGATGACAGGTTGGCCATGAGCCAGCAGTGTGCCCTTGTGGCCAAAAGGGCCAATGGCATCCTGGGGTGCATTAAAAAGAGCGTGGCCAGCAGGTCGAAGGAGGTGATCCTCCCCCTCTACTCTGCCCTGGTAAGACCCTCATCTGGAGTACTGTGTCCAGTTCTGGGCACCCCAGTACAAAAAAGACAAGGATCTCTTGGAAAGAGTCCAGCGGAGGGCCACGAAGATGGTGAAGGGCCTGGAGCATCTCTCCTATGAAGAAAGGCTGAGGGAACTGGGTCTGTTCAGCCTTGAGAAAAGGAGACTGAGAGGGGACCTGATCCAGGTCTATAAATATCTAAGGTGTGGGGGGCAGAATGGCGAGGCCAGACTGTTTTCAGTGGTGAGTGGAGACAGGACAAGGGGAAACGGCCGGAAACTGCAGCACAGGAAGTTCTGCACAAATGTGCACAAGAACTTCTTTACAGTGAGGTGACGGAGCACTGGAACAGGCTGCCCAGGGAGGTGGTGGAGTCTCCTTCTCTGGAGATGTTCAAGACCTGCCTGGATGCCGACCTGTGCGACCTGCTGTAGGGAACCTGCTTTGGCAGGGGGTTGGACTCGATGATCTCTGGAGGTCCCTTCCAACCCCTTCGATTCTGTGATTCTGTGATTCTGTGATTCTGTGATTTTGGAAAATGCCAAATGAAACATCAGTGCTCCAGGAATCTAGAAAGTTCTGGAAACATGAAGAATCTCATTCTTCATGTACATACAGCAGTGCATCAACAGATTCTGACGTGATGATTTCTAAACTTTTCTTGAGAAACTGCAAAGTAAAGAAGCACTCAACTGTCAGTTGATTCAAATTAATAGGCATTTGTTCTACTGAATGCAGCATTCGTTCATTTTTTTGTGACAATACATATCACTGAGTTTCGCTATGCTTTTCTAATACCAGTTTTTGAAGCTAACAAATAATGATCTTTTGAATGTTTTCTAGTTATACTGGAAGAGCAAACTCCATGATTTCACTTTGGCTGTATATCCTATGTCTCTTATTTTGGTTTTCTGGATTTCTTTTCAGTTCTACTCAGCTGAAAAGATTGTTTATAGCCACTTATGTGGCCTTCTCTGTGAAGAACTGGAAGGAAGCATTTCACTGAAGGTCACTGTAAAAGGAATAAATAGCTTTATTTAATATAATCCAAACAATGACTGTCTGAAACTAACATGAGAGTTTAAAAAAATGATTTCTGCCTTCTTTATTTTCCTTTTATCTGGCAATTGAATATTTTTCCAGTTTAGTTTTTGAACTGTATCCTGCCAAATACAACAGCTTTTGAAACAGTCCAGCACATTCACTTGTGAGTTCATGTATTCTTTGTGCGTACACTTTTGTGATTCCTAGGATACATGACACAATATTGTTTTTGTTTTGGAATAGTAGATGTTTGAACCAAGGGTAGAAAGAGACAGGTATGCTATGTTTGCCTTTTTTTTTTTTTTCCTGTAAATCAGCTTGCTTAACCTTCTGCAAGGTTAATAAGTCTAAATTGGCCATATTCTGTAGATCTTTAGCATTTCATGCAATATTGGAACCTTCAAGTCTGTTGAGACTGTAGAAACAAGAGAGGTCGTTCAATTGTTCTTACCTTTCATTGGACGTTTGTGAAAGAAGAATGATATGTAGTACAGTAATAATTGAGATACAAATTAACTGCTTCAAATATATGAAGATAGATTTTCTCCCAACTTGTAAGTAATCAATTGAACTCATTAAATTATGCTCACTTAGTTTTATGTTGTTTGGCACTTAGAAAGCACTTTGCTCTTAAAACACAAATTCTTTGTGTCTCTGAATGTATTTTCATCTTTTAAAAGGTCAATGTAGCTTTATGTAGAGTTGCTCAGTGATGTAGAGTCACAGAGGAAAGTTTTCATTTTCACTGAAATGAAAGAGCTTTCAGATCTTACTAGTTTTATAAAGATGAGTAGTTCTTCCATGGTTTCCCTGAATACTTAGCTGTCACAGGATTTAAATTTGAATGTATGAAACTGAGGGTGTGACTTCATCTGTATTTTATGTATAAACTAGGGTTGTGTTCTGCCAAATAGATTTGAGATCAATTTTGATACTCAGAAAGCCCAGGAAAGTACAGTAATGCATAAAAAGATAGTTCTACTTGGGGAGAAGGAAAGAAGAGAAAAAGATGACTCTTACTCTTCTGAAATGCAAAATAAATGAATGGATAAATTGTACACAGTGTTAACTAGCCAAAGTGATGTAAGTTCTTATTCTACAGCATTTTTATGGAAGTCAAACGTGTATTGCTTCTGTTGAACAGAGAACACATATTCTTTATTGCAGAGACCTTATTAAGAAGCTACTTGTGGTTGACAGGACAAGGCGATTAGGAAATATGAAGGTCAGTATGAAACGTTAGATGTAATGCACAAGGTGAAAGAATTCTACAGAAAAGACTTAAGAATAGTTTTTAGTTTTATAAGCATGAGTTTGAATTACGTTTCCAAATGTGACTTCTGTTGTACAGTTCTAAACGAAAAGTTTAACTCTGTGTTTGTGAAAGTCGTACTCATATTGTTATCTGCCTCTTCTTAAAAGTAAAAAAGAAAAAAAAAAAAATTTTTTTCCTTATGTACTTAACTGAAATCAAGCCAACCAAGAGAAAGTAATCACTACAAAACACTGAAATGAAAATATAAATGGTTTTACATATATAAATATTTTTATGACTGTACTCAGGACTTCTTGCTGTCAGTATGAAATGTCTGTAACATTTGATAAAGGTATTTCCTAGTACTGTCTTCTAATTTACACTCCACCACCCCACAGTTAATTTTTTTTATTAGTGTGAGAATCAGAAAGCAGATCTGAATAAGAGTCATTCTTTAAAGCTCTGGAGTAAACTGAATTAAACAAAACTGCAGTGAATGAATGGCATTGAGGATATTTTAATTTTAATTTTCATCTATCTTGTGTAAGAGGAATGCTAAAAATAAATTAATAAATTGGACTTACTGCTGGAACTCAGGATCTGCTAGGGAAATAACACCTATAAATTTATCCTGTAGAATCTTTTATTGATTGTCTCCTGAAAAAATGATATAAGGTTAAATAAACCACTAGCGTTTTTTTATGGCATAGTTCTTATGGTGAAATACATGTCTTGGCATTCATATCCCTTTATTAAATGTTTTGTTTTTCTTTGTTTTTTAAAGAATGGAGCAGATGATGTGAAGAGACATCGATGGTTCAGGTCTATAGACTGGGATGCTGTACCTCAAAGGAGACTAAAGGTGCCTTCTGAAAAATACTGTATAGGATATGTCAATGAGAAGTTACTGTTCATTTGAACTGTTCTGTTGAAACTTTTTTGTTGTGTGTGTATGACTTCATGTGTGTATGAGTATCTGAGTATTTGTATCCATGAATAATTATACTTTCCCTTTTCCTCTGCAAATTTAATTTACTTGAATGTCTATTGACATATTATGTGCGATACACATACGAATAGTCAATTTTAAAAAACCTGCTTTGTTTTGCTGGAGTCTGGTGATTAACATTACATACAATAAGCTTCAGTTTTCATTTATGGGTCTTTGTAAATAACTACTGTTGTAGGATTGAAAGAGTGTTGGTGTGGGGTTACCTTTGTGTCTTGTATTTGTGGGAATATTTTCTCTAGGCTTTAATTTTTTTCTGCCAAGTTCAACTCAGGTAAATGCTTTAATAAAATGTAAAGCATATGGGAGTAGGAAAAAGAGGAGAGGTGAGAAAGAAGGATTTATGAATGTAATTCTAACATAAGTTTTAACAGCACTGAATTCTAGTATTATGTGAGTGAGGGCAGATGTTTGCAAAAGCTATCAACACTGTAAAATGCTTTTTAAAGCACTTTGGAAGTAAACCCTTCTTTCTTTCCTCAAAGTTCTAACTGGAACAGTTTCTCACAGAAGTGATTTTCAATAGCATAGATAGCCATCTGCAGTCAGTCAAGTACTAATTAGATGTTTGGATTTACATTTATTTGCACGGCTTTTTACAGTGAATTTCTAACTAGATAATTTGGGGAAAACAGATAAGAGGTGAAAACACTCATGAGGTATTTTTGTAAACAACATCCTAATGTAATGCTGTAGGCAGTTTTTTTCTCTATTTGATGTTGGGATTACAACACCTAATTGACACCTAATTTATCTACAGGTGTTACAACAAAGGCACATTTTTCATATTACCTACTATAAATTCTGATCACGCAGAAATCACAAATGGGAATTTAAAATCGTAACAAATTTTGACTCTGGTTTACGAGGATTTGTATTACTAAATAAATAGCAAATAGTATTAAAAAGGTGAATGTTAGTCTCAGCTCCAAGCACCCTTTATGCAGCATTATAATTAAGAAAAAACTCACTGGCATTCAGGTGATGAATTTGAAATTCTTAGTGATTTGAATTTCTTAGTGATGATTGCATTGAACTTTAGAAGATGAGGATGAGATCCTACTTAATTATTCTTCAAAGCAAAGACATAAGTTGGGTCAGAAATTTGCTTTGTGGTTCTGCTTCTAAAAGTAACTATTTTGATAACCTTAGTCTTGTATCTACTGATGAAGAGATGGAAAACATGACATAATACATGCATTTTTCCTCTAAAACGTTCTGTTGTACAAGTGGGCATTGAATCACAGTTCTGAAATGATCTTAAATGTCAATATTTTGCAAATAACATTAGATGGTGGGAGAGAGAACATAGTTTTGTTGATGCAAATTCCTCTCTCTGCTTCTGTATTAGATAACAAAACTTGTTTCCCTGATAGTTTGTTTCCAGGGAAGCAGGGCTATCAGACATTCCCTCTCATGGATCAAATAGCTCTGATTTTTCTTGAAGACCCATTTTCCATGAGCCTTGAGGCTCTTTGACATTTTGAAAGCAAGATCAGAATAAAGCAGGTTTTGGTCCAGGCTACATCTTCCCTTGTCTTTAGCTGTAGCATTTTGGCAGTCTTCAGCCAGTTTGGGTAGCTTGTCTCTGCATAGGAAGTTTTGAAAGTACATTTTCAAGTTCTTTTTGCAGTTTGGGAATATTGGAGGATAGAGATTATGAAAGACTATAACCTGGAGGTGTGCTACATACCTGTGTCCACCACGCACAGCTCTCTGGAACTCTGCATTAAACACTAAATCACAGAAGCTGAGCTTCTGGAGCAAAGAAGATTGTTCCCATATTCAAAAGAATCTGTGCAGTATTCTGGGGCTGCCGTATTGCCAAAACAAGGCTTTGTTTTTGATTGAAATGTGGAGGTACTGTCTGTAGGGACTTTTCCTTCCAGCTGGAAACTTGGTAATGCCATTTTTGTAAGCCTGAAATTTCAAATTAGATCTCAGAGCCAATGGCAGCCTTTATCAGGAAATGGAGAACAACATTGTGCTTTGTAGTTCTTTTTTATGCTGTAACTTTCTTTGGCCTATTTGGTGTTCTTTAGATTTTCTTAAACTAGAGCAGTATATTTGGTATGCTGATACTTAAGGTCACTATACCACTAAGAAGGGGATAGAAATGAAGGTCACATGAGTAAAGAAATGTTTTTGCTACCTGTAACTGATTAAATGTTTCAGAAAGAAGGTTTCTCACATTCCTGAGTCCAGAAGGGCATAGTAATCTCAGCACTAAACTAAAAGAAAATAGGAAAAAAAACCTATGAACTGGAAATCCAAAGGATCTTATGAGGAAAGAGGTAGAAAACAAATATTTCTCATTGGACTTCCAACTTTCATGAAATCCAAAGATCCATTTGTGTGAAGATACTTTTACAGACATTCTTGTGAAAATCAGTTTTTTACAGTGCAGCAGCTTCATTATTTGCTGCCTAGAAAAAGGCGAAGTAGATCATGTGAGGCACATAATGTTAGTCATTTCAGCCTCTTCAAATGCAGCCAATCTGTTTTGAAAGCAGAAGGCTTTTTTTTCTTCAATTACAAAGCAATTACCTGCCCTGCTATCATGACTTTATCTTAGTTGAAAGGGATCTGATGATGATTATGCTGCTGCTTGCCAGTTGGCCAAAGAGTGAAAGATGAGGAGAGTGGCAAAGTCCTCTGTAACAGAACATGCCTGGAAGCCTAACTGAAATAATCTTGTGCAGTAATTAACTTCCATTTGTAAAGCATCTGGAGCTTGAATGCTAAACAAATGGATATCTGTGTTATAAGTGTTTTTTTTAACTTCATACAAAGCTTTGGAACATATACGTGTTGCCATAGTTTTTTCTCTCTCAACATCAGTCAATATTGGTGAAAAAGGTGAACTTCTGTAAATGCATACTAACTTTTTTTTTGTACTTATGCTCACTAGCCTCCTATCGTGCCGAAAGTATCCAATGATGGAGATACTTCCAATTTTGAAGCTTATCCTGAAGATGACTGGAATAAAATGCCTCCAGTACCCCCTAAAGATCTAGAAATTTTCAAGAACTTCTGAATGCAACATCTACAATGGACAAGGTACATTTACAGGGCCAGGAATCCTCTTCAAAGGTTGCAGGTTGGGGAGAGCCTTGTGCAGAAACTATGTCTTCTGATTCATAACAGTGATTAATTATTCCATACAGGTCTTGAAACCAACATGAATTGGCCACAGCAATGTATGGTATAAAATAAAATTGATAATTGATATATTTTAAAGCAGGCTTACTGAATGATAGAGGTATGCTACAGGCTTTGTTCTGTAGTGATTCTTATCCAAGCATATGGATATTTAAGCTTTCAATCTTAATTTTTTAAATTGAGTGTGAGAAGCAAATATGTAGATTGATTTGACAAATAACTACATTCACTTCTTAACTCCAAGATTTTTGTATTAAGAGTAAATGCTTTAGTTCAAGGAACAGGATTGTCAGTTTAATTCTATACCTTGAATTATGTTTTAGTACTATGAAAGACTGAAAACTGACATTGAATTCACGTGTTCTGCCTTGGTTTTTTAATTCTTTTTTTCATTGTTTTTTTGCCCTAGAAACTGGAAAGAAAGTGAAGTGAAGAGCAAGTCTGAAGAAAAAATTAAATGAATACATAAATGAAAACTTTCCTTGTGGATGAGAATTATACTGCATTCAGATATGCAAATGAGAATATAATGAATATCTAAGGAGTTGGAGGCAGGCAAGAATCAGTTTTGGCTGAAAACATTTGGCATTGGTTTAGTAAATTGTAATGTTGGCAGTCTACTCTGAAGTAGACTTGAGTAAAGTGAAATATTTTAGGATTTTTTTTTTTAACTTATGGTTTAGTTAAGTTTCCTGCTATTCCCAGATCCTTTTTGCATAATTAACTCATAGATTTAATTTTATAAGTTTATACTAAACTTGTGTAATTAAAAGCACAAATTAGTATATATGTATATAATGAATACAATACAACTAAAGCACAGGAACTGTGCAAAGATGTAAATTTTTGTACTTTGCAGAGTCTATGATTTTTATTTTTCAAATAATGTTTTTCAAGAAGTTCTCTAGGGAAAAAAAAGTCTTAAAAGGATAAATGAGTTTTTCATCATCTTATATACATTTTATAATTCTTTGTAAAAATAAAAAATAATTAAGTTTTAAATAAGATTTGTACCTAAAATTTCCAATGCCTCATACTTGCAACCATAGTACTTGAAAGCAGAAAGACAAGGGCATGTTTTATTGTTGATTAAGATACATCTTAATGGTTAATTTATGAAATTCTGTTACACTGATGTCTCTACAAACCAAGATATTGAGTGATGACGTGCTGTCTGAAATGTGATTCCTCTTGTGACAACTCTCTATAGACATTCAGTTCAGTGCATACTGGTATAAGGGCTATAACTGGCTCTTACAGGAGTTGTTCTCTCTCTTAGCTTGCTATTTTCTCTAAATCTAGAGCATGACTGTAACAGACTTTCTTCATTATTGGCATAGTTGTTGTTGAATATTTGGAGCTTCTAACTATCAGAGGGAACACTAAATATATGTTAGAGCCTGCTTTTTCTGCTCCTGCTTTTGGAAATAACCTGAAGTCTCCACTGCCAGGAATTCTGTATGTACAGTGTTCAAGCCTTAGATCTGAGGAATATCTTTAAAACTGTGTGACAGCTTTCTGAAATCTTAAATACATTGAATTTAGGAAGTATTCACAATACTGTTTCATTTTAAGTAGTACCAAGTATCTGTATGTGCATTTGTATTTCTCTCCTATAGGAGTACGCATAAACACAAATTCAGGATTGTTTTGGTCTTTGTTTTGGTCTTTCTCATGTTTCATATTGTGATGTTTGTTTTAATATAGGGGAAACTGAGTGCTTTGATTTCAAAAAGTAAATACTTCTTTGGTTTTAGATAACTTTTAGGGAAATCATATTTAGATCAAAAGTTTTTGTTTCGGAAGCACATCAGCTTACTGAAGTTGTACCACTATGACTGATGGCTCTACATAAAACTGTCTCTGTAGATCTTACAGACTGCTTTCCCTACAAAGAGTTCTCCACATTTTTATTAATCTAAAATGCCATAAAAATGGAGGCCAAAGATTCATTTTTCTGAACTAAATTCTGTGTGCTTACTATACAGGCATTCTAGTAATTGCAAATTAAATTACTGTCTTTATAAATTTATGACAGATCTACAGCTGGTCTGTCCTGGTGGAAAAATTTCTTCAGTTCTCTTTTGTTGAACTCTAAACAATGCAGAGGTGTGGTAAAATAGTAAATGAACTTTGAAAGCTTGCAATTTCTAGTTTATTAGATCTCTATAAAACAAATTAATTTTTAGAGACTGTATGACTTTTTGCAGAAATACAATATGTAATAAAGTTACGCTTCTTCAAAGAGGTAATTCTGGATTATTACAAATATTAAAAAGTGCTGCAAGTTGATTGCCCCAGCTGAAAATCAGTGAAAACTATATAGGAATACATAATAAGGAGAAAATCCATGGAAAATTATCCTTTTAACATGGTAAAAATACCTCATTCTCTTGAAAAATGAGTCTAGACTTCTGTATTTGTATCCGTGGAGTGAGTTATTCCAAATCAGCTGGAGAAACTGAAGTACATAAAAGAGCTTACTTTGTCTAAGGGAGGAGGAAGCACAGTTTATTTTTTAACGTGCAAGTTCCAGTATTTTTTTGAATCCTAAGTACTACAAAAACAGCATGATTTTGGTTTTTTTTCTTTCAAATTTAAAAACTGCACTGCGTTTAAGTCTTCAGAACTGAGTAAATGGAGTTTGAAATTGCATTGGACTAATTTGCTACATTGGTGGTCAGAAGTTTTGAAAGGCTGAACAGAAAAAATGGATTTTCTTTCTTACCCATTCGTACTCATTCACGTACCCATTGCTGGCAGTGGATGCACTGGCACTCACTATGATAGAGACTAAAGCAGTGAATACAGTCTGCTTTATAGTACTAATCCACCGACTTCACATTGTTTCCAGAGCCATGTGTACTTATACCTAACTACTGACCTCGTCAACATGCTTTCTAGTACAAAGCTACCTTCAGAATTTTTTGAATTAAAATCCTTAATAAGAAACCTTTTTGAAACATTATTATAAAAGACCAGTTGTTTTCTCTACAGTCTTCAACTTACTGAACTGTTACTATACATGCCCATTTTATTTATTTGCACAAGTGAGTTGGTTTTATTTTAAGTCTTTGCTGGGACTTCATGGACCACTAACGAACACAGTTCTGAGTGCTGAAGCAGATGTTTCCAGATACACACTGCTCTAAGGACTCTGGATTTATTTTATTGTTTCTTAAGCAAGCTAGAACACTTTGGTTTTTCCTTCCTCCTCTATTCTGAAGTTCATTTTGTTGTGGTTGCTTCTGTTAACATATATTTTTGCATATAGACTGTTGCATAAGGACTGTTTTCTTGCAAGAGCCCATAGGCCTTTCATATTCTGCTTTGGCAAACAAGAATGTTAAACATTAAAAAGCAATCTTTATTTTTGAGTTTTATATATATATATTTTTAATTGCCCGATTTGAGGTTTTAAGTGATAAACGTGCATTGTAAACTTAATTGCCTTGTAACCAAATAATAAAAATGCTTCATGATTTAAATGGAGAACATGCTGTAGATTTTCCTGTAAATTAGCTTGATCAATGAATATGTGTGCTACTGAGCTTTAACTAATGTGATCTTCCACTGTAAAAAATCATTGTTAATTGATCAAAATATAGGTACTGAACTATGTTTAAATAGATCAACAGGGATTTTGCAGGTTTGAAAGCAATGAAGATATGGCTGTTCCTCAGCCCATCTGCTTGCCATTCAGAAGAGTTGTGATGCAGTGCTTCCTATGCTATAGAGTTATTTTTCAGCTTTCAATGACTGTAGCATGATTCCTTTTCGTACTGTACTGTGTACAGACTTGCCATGTTTTGCACTTTTCTATGGCAAACCTAACTGCTTTATAAATACTCTGTTGTGTCGTAGGTAGTGTTAGCAATAGCAGGCATTTGTGTAGTACATGACCAGTTTGAACTGCTAGATTTGCGAGGTGAGCTTGGACTAATGTTGTATGTTGCTGGTTGCTTGTTGTAGCTCACGTGTAAGTACTGTTCAAAGTTACAAAGTCAGCCCTCATTGCACAATGAAAATCACTGTGATCTGTACATAAACCCCAGTAAAATTTTATTGCTGCTTAATTTATGTAATATCTGTCAAATCTGGATTCATTTAATAAACCTTTATAACTTTTTGAATGTTTAAACCTAGTTTGCTTCCATTTATGGTGGGAGGAGGTACACGTTCTTCATCCAAAAAATGATGAGGGAGAGAGGAATAGGAAAACAACTTTTCCTTCTTCTCAGGAGTTAAGTCTTTCCAGAGTGTGGCAGATGTGGTGGAAAATACTTCATCTGGCATGGAAGAAGTACCAAGAAGTACATTTTCCAATTCTTTTCAGGTATACTGATACTGAAAACCATTGACTCGAACTTCTCATTAAACTTTGATTATATGACCCTAATTTATTTGACATTTTCACAATTTAATGATCAGAACACTGTCCGGAGCATTTATTTCAATCTTTGCTGTCATTTTGCTAAGCACCAAAGAATATTCTTAAAATGTCAAGCACACATAGCTGAACCTTTTTTCCATCTTCTATCAAAAACTTCAATCTTGCTTTTACCAGAAATCATTTAGATGTTGGTTGTAAATTACTTCTCAAGTGTCAATTGCATTTTATTTCTTACCTATATAGAGAGGTACTTACATATGCATAGGACTGACTGATTGGATACAATATGAAATACTTAAGAGTTTGTTTTTTAACACAGTTTTGTGGGGGTTTTTTATACCTCGCTTAAATCTAAATTGTGCGCATTGACATTTTTCACTCATAAAGCACTGTGTTGTGCTTTAAAAAAAACTGCTAATGGAAAGTGAAGGAACACTGCAGTAAGCCCTGGCAAACTTTTAGTCATGTCTTAGACATGACTCAAAATAGCTGCTCACTTAGAACATATGCTTGCTAATATGCAAGAATTTAGTATTTACAAAGAATTCAGTTTGGCATCTTGTTCTTATCCAAGCTTTTTGTTTTGTGGTAGAGTTTTTGTTCATTTTCACTAGCTTGAGTACTGAATATTTTTTGGCTTCACATTGAACTCAATCTTCTCCAACAAAGGTCATGTAAAATATGGTTCTTGACTAATGCAGACCAGGTATGCTTTACTGATCTATAACCGTCTCTGTGGATCATAGTCACATAAGTACTGGTCACAGTCCCTAGATCTGTCTCATTTGCATGGTTAATTCAAAAGAAATGAGAAATTGAAGTGGCTTCATTAAAAATATGCCCTTCTGTGACTTCCCAATAATGGTTTCACTACTACATACTGATAGCAATATAATACTAGTAAGAAATGGTTGTAAGCAGTTGCCACTTTTGCAACTCCGGATATTGCCCCATGCTTTGTAAATCTGTATATATTCAGATATCAGGCTGTTTCCTCTAGGAACTCTTTCTTGGCTTCAATTTTCCGGCCACTTTTCACTGGGGCAGTAAATGCATGTCCAGTGGGAAGTCTAGGCTTCCTTTCTTCTGATTCCTTCCATGTACCCTCCATAAATATGCCAGATGCGGCTGTAAGTCAAGTTTCATAATTATCTGTGAAACAAGGAATATTATAAGATTTTATCAAGCTGAGTGGTGATTTTCAGCCTATCCCAGGCACGCCTGCACCAGCCACAAATGGGCCTCATCCTCACCCCTCAGGCATTTTGGGAATCTCCCAGTCCTATATTTGTACCACAGGCTCCCTGCTAGCCCTGTAGCACACCATGACATCCTTCAGGGTCCCAGCTTCCTCATCCTTCCCCCTTCTCCCACTCCTCTACCAACACCTGTGTTGTGGTTCAGTCCCAACACCCTCTGTCTGTGGGTACCCAGCACAGAATGGAAGAAATAGATTAGAAGCATCTTGGGTCCCCTCACCACTGCTTATATGTAGCTGTGCTAACATTGCCTGTGGTTGTTACCATAATGACACTCCTACTATTACGGTCAAAAAGGGGAAAAAAAAAAAACATACCTCTCCCCCTCTTTACTCCTCTTTAGTATAGTACAATTCTTATCAGGTGCTTTCTTAAAAATACACTGCTAAAATTACTTTTAAATTTTAAAAATCTGAATATCATCATTGTTTTTGGGAAATGGGTAATCAAAAAAAAAAAAAAAAAAAATCAGGGAGCTACTGTAATAATTTGGGCTGCTTCTGTATGATTTGCTGTGTTTAATTTAGTGCCAGTGAGTTGGTGGGGCAGCTGAGAGCAAGAATCTGTTGTTGAATCTGTGATTTAGGACCATGGGCCACTGCAGTCGCAGAGGGAATTCTCCCCGAATTACTGTTTAACTTGGAGCATGAAAAATACACAGCTCTTTAATTTCTTGTGTGTGAAGCTCTGTAAGGCACTGTACAGGCACTGTGTCTGCTGCACTACTTCATTTATCAGAGTATATCACAGGCATATGTTGCAGGTACTTTAGGAAAGCATAGTCGTGTCAACTTAAATGGCTAACCATCCCCTTTCTTGCTTCCAGCACATTGTCCATACCATAGTTTTCAGTAATAGGAAGACAAATGGAAGAGAGAAAACTATTTGGGAAAGCCAAGAGAGCTTGAATTAGACTTTCATCTGAGAAATATCTGTGTCTGATCAGTATGTATTTGTACATACTGTATTTGTACATATTCTTCGCTCTGTCATTAAAAGGTTGTAGGGAAAGTAGTGACTGTTCTTGCTTCATTATGCTGGCTGCTAAGCTCTAAGCTGCTCTCTTGCCCTATGCTGTGTCAATTAGCCTAGTTCAGAAAATACTTGAGACTAAAAGCCTTGGGTTGGAGAAGGAGAAAAATTGCACCAATTGTCCTCTTCACTTATGCACGTGTTACAAGCTGTGCATAGGAGAGGATTGTGCTTGAAATGCTGCTTGTGGTATAAGTCACTTAAAGAAGAAAGCAGCCTTCTCAAGCACACCATGTATTCAGGTCTGACATCCCTGTTCTGCTTGGACTCTAACTGTAAGCCTTCTTCCCATGCAGAGCAGGACCTGCTGTTGTCTTTCAGCAGCTTTGAGTGTGTGATCAACAACTTAGCAAAGAGTAAGATTGAACCGTAGAAAAACTCAACTTTTCTGTGGCAGCCCTCTTTAAGTCCATTTTATTTATTTTTCTCAGGAAGTTGATCATTAGCTCAGTTTTTGATGTAGGGTACTGAGAAAAGATTCTCAGCTATTCAGTGCTTAAGTGTTTCAAGTTGTGTGTAATATACAGTACTTTCTCTGATTTGGTATTTATTTCTCAATAAAGAAGAAATTCATGCTTAATTTAGGAATCTCTTCTAGTGTAGGTTTGTAACCAATGTAGGATTATTTGACTGCGTTAATAGAGTAAGACCTTCACAAATGGCATAATTTCTTGTGATATAAAGAGGGCTTTTTTGGAAATTAATCTGCACTTCTCAACATTCTATTCTTATTTTTTGCTCAATGTTTTACCCATTTTAGTTGTGTATTTTGGAGAAGAAGCTAAAAAAAATGCTGATAAGTATTTATTATTAAGTAAATAAATAGAACTAGGAAATGTTTTGTTTCCCTCTTGTAAGCTAAATGGAGGAAAAGCTTTACTTTTACTTAGTTGAGCTGAAGTTCCAACAACTTGAGTGTAGCTGAAGTCCTTCTATTCCCTCTTGTGAGTATTTCCTCCTGGAGAGCATGACTATTACAAAACAATGCAAAATGGCACGAAAATCAGTGAGCACTTTGAACCCATTTTAAAATCTTGACATGAGTGGACTGTGCCTGGTGTAATTCCCAGCAAAACCTTGCTTGATTCAAGAAGGAAATTTTGATCATCGATCTCTTATGTGAGTGTTGTTAGAATGTGGGTCTGTTGTTTCACTGTCTGACTGCTGCAGAACGGGGATTTTTTTCCTTTTAGACAAGACACCAGTAATGGAGTGACTGTTACTCTTCAGTCCAGTTTTCCTGTTAATCCCTAATTTTGAAATAACTAATTTTGGGGTTCTGAATGTGTGTGCGCAAAATGTGTTTCAAGACTCTGCAGATTGTTCCAGTAATTAACTACTTAAGATTTTATTTATACAGCTGGTGATGATTAACATGCAAAATATGACATGCTTGAAATTAATGCATTAATTTGTTCAACACATTGTAATATTTTAATACATTGACTTGGCAAGTGAATAAAGAAAATCTGTGAATTCAAGAAGATATTAAAAAATACGAAACCTTTTCATATAAGATATGTTGTCTGAATAAACAGGTATCAGGAAGGTGGGCTGTTTAAAATTCTTCACTTTGGGGATTAAATCTGGCAACTAATGAATAAGAGGAATAAAAAGAGAGGAAGTTGGAAACTATTCCTCTCTCCCACCCACGTCAAAACTTATGTAACATAAAAGCTTCAGCTACATCACCAGCTAAAATCTAACAGCGCAGCTGCTATATCTACGGGACATTTCTCAATCCACATCATGGTGAATGGTTGTAGGTTGTCCTCTGCTCAGTATTAGGTCCTACTGGGGTGCTTTCAGTAAAATACTGGCTTGTATCAGGAATGGTGTGGTGAGCAGGACTCAGGAAGTAATCCTGCCCCTGTACTCAGCATTGGTGAGGCCTCACCTCGAGTACTGTGCTCAATTTTGGGCACCTCAGAACAGAGAGGACATTGAGATGCTGGAGCAGGTCCAAAGAAGGGCAACAAGGCTGGTGAAGGGCTTGGAGAATATGCCCTACAAGGAGAGACTGAAGGCACTGGGACAGTTTAGTCTGGGGAAAAGGAGGCTGAGGGGAGACCTTATTGCTCTCTTCCAGTATCTGAAAGGTGCTTACAGAGAGAGTGGGACTGCTCTCTTCTCACTGGTGACAGGTGACAGGAGGAGAGGAAATGGCTTCAAGTTGCACCAGGGTAAGTTTAGGTTGGATATCAGAGAACTATCAGGAAACACTTCTTTACAGAAAGTGTGGTTAAGCACAGGAATAGGCTCCCCAGTATTGGAAATATCCAAATAATTTTCTAGGGCGGTTTCTCTGATAAAGCAGATTTTATTCGCAATGTCAGTGGTGGGCCTCTTGCAAGCAGGAGAGCCCTGAGAAAACAGTGTTACATCTTTTATCATACATCTTTTAACAGTGTTATATCTTTTATTATCAGCCCACTGCTGATCTCTTTTTTCCCTGGT